GGAGGCTAGACCTGGACATGTTTAACATGTTCAGGTGCCGAGCCGCGATGCCAGGGGTTGCCTGTCACCCCCAGTGGCGCCAGCTGTTGTCAGTGGATGAGCTCATCTACCATGAGCTCTGGGTGGAGTTCTACTCAAACCTTCTCCCACGTCGTCCCGATGAGCAAGAAGAGTCATCCCCACGTGGAGTTTATGCTTGGAGGTCAGCCGTGGGTGCTGACTTATGATGCCTTCACCCAGGCCATGGGGTTGTACATCACGTACATGACAGAGCGGCAGTACACGGTCGATTTCCACTATCATGCTGCATTCCAGGCCCTCTACCGCCCCGACCGCGAGTAGGATGAGTACGAGGTTGGCCGCACCAATGCGGTGAAGCTGCGGACCCCGTGGAGGATCATGCATACTCTGCTAGCCCGGTCCGTCGTCCCCATTCTGCATTTGGGCCATCTAATCACTAACTGAGGGCTGCTTGCCCTCCATTCTATAAGGCATCCAGCAGAGCCATTCCACCTGGGATCGCTGATCGCTGTCGGCCCTTCCACCTCCGTGGTGAAACTCGAGGAGAGGATGGACCGTCTTGAGACCCACGTAGTGGGAGTCACTTCCCGAATTGACCGGCACACCGACCTGCTTGAGCGGATTGCTCATCGCAAGGACCTCCTTCTAGAAGATGAGTTGTGGCCTTCGCTCTAGTGAGAGAAGCCGACGAGTAAGACATGTGGCAGAGCCGATTCCTTTTGCCCCACTTCTCCACTTGGAACTCTGAACTCTTTTATGTTATTTTTCTTTCTTTTATTTGGTATGTGTGAACAACTACTGGTATCGTATTGTTATGTGTAATAACATCGCCTTGAGCAAGTATGTGTTGTGATTGTGGGTGTGTTTTTTGTCTTCTCCTTAAAGCTCAAATCTCCTACCCTGGAAAAATTCAAACATTCACTCACCAAGCAATGCGGTAACATCGTTCTACCCCTATCTTACGCCATTGAGGGCAATGTCGAACTTAAGTGTGGGGGTAGTTTATTATTATGCTTGTGTGAGTGTGATTTATGCTTGGAGCCTTGATGTATGCCCAAATTTGAAAATTTTGAGGGCTCCAAGCAATGTTTGCATGATCAAAGTGGCCGGTTTTTAGGAGAATCTCGTGTTTATTGGCATTGACCTTGAATTGTTGCATGTGATCGAGTGTGTCCTATGATGATGACTGAGAGGTGCATTAGGATAGTGCAAAGGTTTAGTTCTCATGTGTGCAAAAATGAATGGATATCTTGACTCGATTACTTGTTGATTACAATTGCCAAGCGTTGTGTTTTGTGAAATCGTAATGGATGATAAGGTGACTAGGTAGCCATGTGCGTTTTGAGTCGATCGTTTTCTTCTTGTGTGCTTAGATCCCTCTTACCATGGTGAGTAACTTCACAGTTGTCACTAGTGAGTATGATGGAGGCATAGGATTAGTCCATGCCCAAATGTTGATTGTCCAGAAATGTTTTATCCACTAGTCAACCCCCTTTGAGCCATGTGACTTTGGGGGTCATTCTCTTGTAGGAGCTTTTTGCTTGTGAGCTTAATGGTGTTTGATAGAACGACCCCCCATCCTTTCTTCGTGTCTATACATGAGTCGTCCTTGTCTCCCGGAGTTCTCGCTTTTGAGTTCCATTAAGGTTTTCTACATACGAGGATTGTTGTTGAACTCCTTCACTACGAATCGAAATGTAATAGCAAGAGTAGATTGAGGAAGAGTGCTTAAAGGTAGTTCATGATGGGTGATAGTTTGGAAAGGAGAAGCCAGGTTTTTGGCCCATGCTATTGGCCATTGGTTGTAGGGAAGGTTCTTAGTCGAAACCATAGAACCTTCAGGTTTAGGATGAAGATATAGGACCTCATGTTGTGTTTGCCATCACTCAAAAAACCTTTTCCCCATGTCCAAGACAATTGCCAGTCATTTAAACCCGTGTCTAAGACCACCAGACAAGCTAGTGATGACAACCGTCCCGTGAACTCTAACATTTAGAGGTTGCTGTTGTGGTGAAGAGAAGAGAGGGTCGAGTGTTGATGATTGTGCGCATTCTTTGCACCAAAAAGGTCCAGACCGCAATGGTCAAGAGAGTGAGTGATTCATTCTTGCTTTGCATGTCATATCATACCCCGGTGAGGACCTTTGTTGCCCATTCGTTTGTTCCTTGGACTTGAATGTTATGCATGGTTAGTTGTGGTTGATAAGTGATCTTGTTGAGACTTGCATTGATTCATGAACAAGGTGAGAACTTTTTGTTTTCCCGTTTTGGTGAACTCGAATGTCGTTTGTGGTGGATGTGGTATTGCTTGCAACATCTAAGTGTGGGGGAGTGATTTGGGCCTAATTGTACACTTTTTATCCCCGTTTCTCTTTTACGTTTGTGGCAATTGACCTCCAAAAGGGGTGCTTTCAAGCTAGGTTTCTTGTGTTTCGAGGTGTTTCAGAGTCTAACAGTTGAAACCAACCCCGGAGTCGAAAGTTGGAATAAAATGAGCAAAGACCAGGCAAAGAGGAGGATATAGCCAGAGTTCACGGTCCAGCATTGGAGTTCGCAATCGCCAGTACCATGAACTGGAACCACAAACCGTGAACAGCGAAGCGTCTAGAGGGGTTTTGAGGTTACTTAAGCCAAGGCAGCTCACGGTCGCTAAGAGGTCAGCTGAAAGGAAGAAGAGGGGGAGCCCAAAGTGAGAGAAACCTTTTTCTTCTTGAAACCCTAGAGAGAGAAAGTCAGGAACCAAGAGGGAGAAGAGGCTAGGGTTTGCTCCAAGTGAAGATTTTGGAAGCTCCTGTTATTTGGAGGATCTCTACAAGCACAAGGAGAATCGGAGGCATCTCAATGATGGTTTCTTTCTTCCTCTTGTGTTCTTCCTTTGTCTAGCATGGAGTAGTTTCCCTTTTCACTTGGGTGTTGTAGTACCCTAACTACGATCATGTAATTGATTGGGTGGATTGAATGATTGTGTGATGGTGGTGTTTAATTTAAGAATTGAGGTATTTTTCATGGTGATTGTGCATATTGTTTGCTGGCAATCTATTGTGCTATCCTAACCTAGATTAGTGAGAAGCCCCCTTATCTAATTAAGAGGCTGAAAATTGAGTTGGGTTTTCTTAGGCATTTTAAGCCTCCTAACTAGGTTAATGAAGGGCAATCCTCTACTTGAATTAGACACCTAGGTTAATTGTGATTATGTCGTCCAAGCCTTGGTTTGATGGAGAAGGTAAGCCAACCCTCAATTGCTTGGCCCAAGAGGGCTACAATTGTAGCCACTAATGCTTACCTTGGCCTTGCAATTGAGATGATGGTTTCTAACGATTGTTGCACCTCCTACGGGTCACAATTGCCTCGTCACACACCGGTTCATTCGCTCACACAACTCATGGTAGTTAGTTAGGGGAAAGCAACACCCGAGTGAAGCTTCTCGCCAAGAGTTCTCCACCCATTTACTTTCAAAGTCTTGTTTTCGAATTGTAGATTGTATAGATTTCAACAAACAACACTCCGCTAGATAATGCTTTAAACCATCAAAGTAGGGGTACATGAGCCGGCTCGGATTGATATTTAAACATACTTGCCCTATATTGCATCCATCTAAGGTTTTACTTGGCCTTAGGTGGCATTTTATTGTGATAGTCGGAGCGAGTCATAGGGGTACATGAACCGGCCCAGGTCGATATTTAAACATACTTGCCCTATACTGCACCCCATTAAGGTTTATACTTGGGCCTTAATCGGGAGTTTTAAAGTGGTGCATTCGGGTTGAGTCACCATTCTACGATTACACTTGGTCGTAGTTAGGTGTTGTGTTTTAGCGAGTCACATGTCGTACTTGGATCCAACATATAGTGAAAATGCACACACACTTATATAACATTTGTATTCAAAAGTCGTACTTGGACGTATGAAAAACATGATTTTTTATTGTTTAGTTGGAATCCTCTTTTGAGGCTATGATACCAAACCAATTTTTGAATAGGAAATTTAGAATTAATTATCATTATAAGTATTTTCAATTATCATTATGTGTTCGAATAATTGAATTATTCACTAAAGCAAATAAATCCTATGAATTTGGTCTCGATATAAATAATCTAAGGATGTTATATTTAATTCTCTTACATCATACTGATGTTGTCTAATTTTTCATGTTAAATCTCCTTGTAATTCTCTAATATTAAATTGTAGATGTTCCATATAAGTTAAATCTACTAATTCTAATTCTCTTGCTATAGTCATATTTTCTTTTCTTGATTTTCTTATTGAATCTTCAAGTATATTTATTATTCATTTTTTATATAAGTTTATTATTTTTACTATGAAAAAGTTTTAATGTTTAGAAGGTTTTCTACTTTTTATATTAGATAATACTTGTTGAAATATAGTTTTTGATGTTCTTAAAAGTTTTGAGTACCAAAAGGTAATTAAGAGTAGGAAGAAATTTGGGATGAAAAATTAGACGGATATATCTTTTGACGACTTTAATGGTATCCGACACCCTATTCAAACTTAAGTGTTATTTTTACACCAATTCTCAAACTTAAGTGATACTCTAGATATTTTATCCTTCAAATGTTCAACTTAAAATTCTAAGAATAGTATTAAAGAAATAGGGAAATCGAAAAAAATAGCGGCATTCGCAAATCAAAGGAAAAATCGATACCGTCGAACCTCCAACCGAATAACGGATCAACCCACCACATATATGTCTGACCTGTTTTTTTCACCAGATCAACCGGTGATCGACCCGCGGTTGAAAACTTTGGTTGTTCCACTTTCTCGGGGGAAAAAGTAAATTGAAAAGGAAAATCCAGTCTGGTCTTTCCTCCCAAACTGAAAACCAAGTCGCAGAAACTCCCCAAGCTGTTTCTCCGTCGGCAGAAATCCAATTCGAGTATTCGACGTTCTCTCTCTTCGCCTCCGTCCGCGAGGTAATCGTCGCCTGGAGAAACACGCTGCCGTTTCTCTGATTCATCGTCCATGGCCGCCAATTCTCAGCCTGCAGGTCCGATTTTTGGTTCTCTTCTTCAGTTTTTTTATCTTCTTCTATTGTCCGTTCCGCCGATGAGTTTCATGCTCCCGCGAACAATGCTTCGCCGGCTTTGTCTTCTATCTCTCGCTCCTCGATTCTTTTCTGCTCGGTTCTTTTCCTAACTGTTCTTTGTCGATCGTATTCGAGCCTTCTTTAGGCTATTTAGTTTACCAATTTGTGCTACTTGTTGATTCGCCGATTAAAATTTCTTGCTTATGAACTTCGTTCTAGGAGTTCTATTCTATTTGGGCCGAATTCCGTGGAATTGGTATAAGCTGTAATATATGAAGGTGAGATTTTAAGGCGCTTGTTGCTTTGATAATGGAAAATTTGCTTCTGCGGGTGTCAGTGAAAATAGTTGAATTTTCTGAACGCCATTGCAACGTCCTATTTTCATTTGAGATGTGGATGACCTTTGTACTCTGGATCGAAATTTAGGAAGAGCTGATGATCTATTTTGCTTATGAGTTATGACGCTTGACTGTTCTTGCCCTGTAGGAGGTGGAGCTCCTCCGAAACCTTGGGAGCGTGCTGTGCCATCGGCGTCTGGTCCAGCACCTTTCAAACCTCCTTCAGCTGGGAGCACCAGTGCTGTTGTTGAAGCATCCGGTACCGCAAAACCAGGTGAAATTGTTCCACCTGGCAATAACAATGCAGTGGCGACTACAAACCGTAACCAACGGCCTGTACCAAACCGGCCGTGGCAGCCACAGACAACCCAATATGGAGTAGGAGGTTTGTGTTGAATGTCCTGGCTATGCTCACAAGTGTTCGAATTTGCTTTAATATAATTATATATATGTACACAGTACGCTTATAGTTGAGTTATTTCTTGGTATGTTAGGTTACTTATTTGTTTGAAATGGAAAATGCTGTTTATTTTTATCCATCTTGTCATTTTTTACTGAGAAGAAAGTATGAGCGTCTTTTACGAAGTGGTTCAGGAAATAATCACAGAAAGATGAAGATTCCATCACTAACTAGAGTAGAAACCTAATTTGGTTGACTAATCAAGTTACTTTCTTTTTTGCTAATATGCAAGTCAAGATATGCTCACTAGTTTGCATTTTGTGTAAACTGTATGCATATAATTCAGTTTTCTCTTGATACACTAAATTGCTTAGCCGATGTAGTTAGAAAATGCTGTTGTATTTCGTCAACTTTCCTGGTAGAGCTGTTCTAGGGGAATAATGAGTTTTCTTCAATAAGTGGTTCTCAGGAAATAGTCACAGAACACATGAAGTTCCATCAGAAACCAGAGTATAAACCTCATTTGGTTGACTAATATCAAGTTTCACTTTCATGGTGTATTTTCTTTAATCATCATCTATTCATATGTCTCGACTCTTGACTCATGTTAATGTTGATGTCTTGATTTCAGGGTATGGTATGAATAATTCATATGGAATAAGAGGTGGATATGGTAGCAGTTTGTATGGAAACAACATGTACAGAGGGGGATATGGTGGTCTATACAGCGGTGGCGGAATGTATGGTGGTTATGGCAACCAAATGGGTGGTGGGTATGGAATGAATCCTTATGGCCAACAGCAGAATCCCGATGATGTTCCTTCTCCCGGCTTCTGGATTTCTTTCCTCCGTGTGGTAAGACAATTGTTTTGGCTTTTTCTCCCATCTTAAGTTTTGCTGACTAAATGATCCTGTTGGAGGGAAGAAAAGTTTCACTTCTTATTAACCAGCTTATCAATCATTCCTTTAATATTGAGGCATACAGCGTGGTTGACAGGCACGTCCTTAACATAGAGCTATCTAATATTTTGCATGGGAGTTGGTTGCTGACTGCTGAATTACTAAAATAATTTCAACAGTGCTGCTAACCTTCTCAAGTCTCATCCTCCCTAGCATCCTATTTTATGATAAGATCATATATATGGATTTCATTGTTTATTGCATAAGCCACTAGTTTTTCCAGTTTCATAGTATTGCTGTTGGTTGAGAATAGCATAAGTTGCTACGTTCAGTAGGACAAAGGCTTAGAAATCTTTGTTGACTTCTCATTGACGTTTCTTGCGAAGTGAAATTGTGTGGTATCAATGTGTTTTTTTACTTAATTGTTGTTGTGGGTGGTTGCAGTTGGCAGGTGTTGTGAATTTCTTTGGAAGAATAGCAATGCTGATAGACCAGAATACTCAGGCATTCCACATGTTCATGAGCGCTCTTCTTCAGGTTTTTATCTGCTTTTAAGTTGGGTTCTTGTCATCTCTCTTTGTTTCTGTTATCGATGTTTGTAAATCCCAAAGATGAAGCATTGGACTGATCACACATTTCCACCCCACTTGGCATTTTTCACTTTCCCAGCTGTTTGATCGGTCTGGGATGTTATATGGTGAGCTAGCCAGGTTTGCTCTGCGAATGCTCGGCGTCAAAACACCAAAGAAGGTCGAGGGAGCAGCAGCCGAGGGGCAACAGAGGCAGCAACAGGTTCAGGCTTCTAAAGCTGCCGAAGGAGGATGGGACAATGTCTGGGGAGCCAAGAACAGCAGCTAAGTACAACCACATGGTCAACTCTAACTTGTTTCGACCGTGAAAGAGACATTTGAGCAAGAACACTGAAAGAGATGTGAGAAAAAGAGTCCGTCCGGCGTCATCATGCCCCAGTGAGTTATGCCTTGAACCCCCAGCACAGTGCAATCGGCACTACTTACTACAGTAGAATGACTGTTTGATTGAAATAAAAATAAACTCTAGTACATATATGCGTATTGTACACACTCTCTCTCTCTCTCTCTCTCTCTCTCTCTCTCTCTCTCTCTCTCTCTCTCTCTCTCTCGTTTATCATTGTGGCCTTCACCATGTGTGTGTGTTCTCTGAGCAAAGCTGTTAATATTGGAGTGAAAATGTGTAGCATTGAGTGATTTGAAGAAATAAATAAGAGAAGGAATGACTTGTATTACCTTGTTAGATTGATCAACAATTGATTAATTTTCAATCAAACCTGGCTTGAAGAAACAGTTCTGAAACGGTGCGAGCGACTAGTCCTATATTCTGAGAATCCCAAATTAGAGAGTCGAGAACCGACTGGATTCCAGATACAAACACTTAGGCTAGCACTATTGAGGTTCTAAGTCGTGTAAGCTAAGAACTTTTCTTTTAGAAAGGAGTTATTGTCGAGATTATAAATCAAAAATTTCAAAAAGACTTAAGTATGATAGTTGACTAACTTTGACTTCATACCCTAGGATGAGACTACGATAAATATCATGTTTCACCAACTACTAACCTAGGCATTTACAAAATAAAGGTTGATAATTTTTAGTAAGATAGTCAATTGGGATAAACATATTTAACCAGCAATCAAGTATTTTATCCAATAATCTCAACTCTCAAAATTGGTTGCCAGTTCGTCCAAACTCGAGAAACACGAATTGATATATGTTGTATAAGATAATAAGTTAATGCAAATAATCAAATGAAATCTACCAATATTGTTCAAATGATAGACATTTTAATTGCACTTGAAATATGTGTGTATTGTAGACACTCTTTATCAATTATTAATATATGTGATATAATATTTGAAAATTACACATTCAACGCCATGTTAAGACCAAAATACTCGATAATGTGTGTGAATGTATTAGATTGAGATTCTAAGTCAACATAACAATGACCACGGGTTGAGGTATAGTCTAAACTTCAAAAATTAACGATTTATACATATTGTATAATATACTAAATTTAAGCGTCTTCATAAAAAAAACTCCAAAGTGGAAATGAGTCGAGATTAGAGAATTTAATTATCATGAGGGCTATGGTGCGTGTCAAGTTTCAATATGGATGAATAAATTGATCCAATAATGAAGTATCTTTACTGAAAATTTCTCACTAAAAAGTCCTAACCTTTACAACATTGGTCGAGAGTTCGTCCAAACTCGATGATCATGAATGTGTATTGGATTTCCAAAGGACCTAAAATCTCAATCCCTTTCGAGGACTAAGGACCTATGATCACAATCATAGGTTCCAAACAAGAATGAAAAAGCCCTAAAAAGCAAAAAATAACATAACCTCCGATAGGATGAACAAAATAAAACTATATCGAGCTATGATCCTGTCATCCCTGCCCTTTTATTCTCCATAAAGGGGGCGGCGGGAGAGGATAAGAAATAAATAGTAGGGACTTAGGATTTGCCTCTTTATATATTACATATTGAACGATAGTCAACCCCAATGGTTGTCTGACGTTATGGGGGTAAAAGCGAGATCTCTATCCCGGAGGTGGGGGATAGGCAAGTAGCACTTTAATATGAGTATTAGGCGAGATAAGATAGGTCTGACGAAGTATCTGGATAATTTTGAGTCTACCACACACACACACACACACACACACACACACACACACACACACACACACACACACACACACACACACACACACACACACACACACACACACACACACACACACACACACACATCACACACACACACACACACACACACACACACACACACACACACACACACACACACACACACACACACACACACACACACACACACACACACACACACACACACACACACATATATATATACATACATACATACATATTTTTTTTAATCGAGGAACCTCATCCCCACGTACCACTTTGTGACAGCGGGTCCTACTAAACCTGGGGGTCACCTGCATTCAATTCGACACCAACAGGGCTTCGCCCCCAGCAGCCTTATACCTTTGGGAACACCAACGGACCTCGCTTAGATTTGAACCTGGGATCTGCAACTCCCAAGCCTTACTATTGCGGCAGCTTACCGTTAGGCTATCTTACCTTTGGTGTGTGTATATATATATGCTGGCTACTTCGGTGCACTCACAAAAATGAGTGCGTTCAATGCACCCAACTCTAAAAGTAGCCTTAAGACATCAATTTTTTACTTTAATTGGTAAGATTAGTGTAATATGATAATATAATAGAAGATCACAACTAATCAATGCATTACCCTAAGCCCTAAACCTTCAATTTTGAACTTTTGCCTTAAACCCCAAATCATGAACCCTAACCCTAACCCTAAATCTATATATCATAATTTCTTCAAATTAATGTAAATTTTGAATAATTTTTGTGCTAATTCATGGGGTTTCTTGTTCATCGTATCATACGTGATGATTAACATTGTTTTGACATGAATCGCATGCTCATAATGACAAATATGAAGCGAGTACACTGAATGCACCCAAAAAAGTGAGTGCACCGAAGACATAACCATATATATATGGGCAGTTCTAGGGTGCCCAGGGCAAAATCCGGGGTACAGGTAACCAGGGGCAAGGAAAATTACCAAAAGCATCACGAAGCGTTAAAGCTTTTTTCATTGGACATCAACCTAACTGTACCTGGTTTAATTATATCGATTAAGAGGTTAAACCCTATGGATACGACCCGCCGCCCGAACCAATTACCAGTCTCCCTTCTACGTGAAATTTAGGTTTGCTAACCCTAGGATTCATTTGCAAAAAAAACCCTTGAAAGAGGTTTGCTAACCCTAGGATGCATGCCGCTAGTGCTTTGTCATCTTGTCTTAGCGTTATTGTCATTTTCTCGAAACTTATATCTCTCAGTGAAATTTAGGTTTCCTGATATGTAGTGTTCGTCTCGCCCAGAGGATTGAGGAAGAAGATGAAGAACACATAATTTGATTCAAATCGGATGGAGAGGTCTCCTTAATTTGTGTTTATGTATTAACGGTGCGTTTAGGACTAACTCTAGTTACACTGGGTCTGATCATTGATTTTTGCAAGCTTTTAAATAACATTCAAAAGTGGGCTTGTACATGACCCATGGCACCTAGTTTGTTGATAATAGATACTGAGTTCCGAATTGTCATTAGGTTTGGGCTTTTGATAATTGTCTATCTCAGCGGCTGTTCTTTGTTTTACTTATTTTCGTCTGCTTCTGTTTCTAAAATCCTGATCATGCCTTGAGTTCACGCAATTTAAACATAATTATGTGTTCCATCTTTTTTTTTTTGGATTTGGTAAATGCTAGCGTGTCTCTTTACACATTTAGCGGTACGAGGTAAACTACAATCCGCCCAATTTAACTCTTCATTAATTGAGATCCTATTCCACTATCTCACTGATTGCCCCTCTTTATGCAATGCACTCGTACATAACAAACCTCTTGTAGACTAATTAGAGGCTTGTGGTTGGATACTGAGTGAAGATAATTTTTTTAATTTATGTTTTGAAACGAAAGTTAGAATTTCACTTTTTAAGTACCTATGTACTTTAGTTGTGCAGGTATTTTTAAAATGTAAAATTTTATCAGCATATAGGAATACGATTGTTGATGTTAAAGGAAATGGGTACTGACTGCTTAGGGTTAGGTTGTTGATGGTATAGATTATATGGTATATGGGTAGGTTATAAGGTGTTGATGGTTTAGAGCATATGACATTGATTGGTTAAAGGGTGAGGGTAGGTGTTGTTTTATTTTTTCTCGATTTTATATTTTCTTTATATATGCTTATAAATGCTAATCATGCCTTATTACTAACTAAACTTAGACATATTGTAGCGTGACACATTTATCGGTACGAGATAAAATGATTTGGTGTGTGCAAGGTAGGTTCCTATTATCTATTTTGCCTTGTTGGTTATCCTTGTTGGTGATCCCGTCCATTAGCTATTCGCCACATATGGAATGTAAATTAGTTAGAGTTATTAACTTCATCTTTCTTCATTTATTGTTTGATTTGAACCTGCATGTTTTTGCTCTGAAGGATTTTGTAGTGGCGTGGTAAAGACAATCCGTCCAATTTAACTCTTCATTAATTCCCCCTTTTTTACTCTCTCACTCCCCCACGAAGCATAAACAATCTACTATGATATAATTACCGTTCATTTTAACCCTTCACTTAATAAGAAAGCAAAATTTCACATGATGATTATAATGTCATGTAGCTTAATTGGTTAGTTGTCCTTTAGTTGCTGAGTTAATAAAGTAGAGGTTTGTGGTTTGATACTTAGCGACTATCAATTTTTAATTTATATTTTGAACAGAAAGTTAGAATTTCAATTTTGAAGTACCTATCAACTTTAGTTGGGTAAGAAAAGTTAATAAACAATAAAATAGAAAAAGAGACTAGTTATCTATGTGGCATTGCTAGAAGAATTCCTAATTTAGCAATCTTGCTAGTTTAGAAATAACTCCTCCATCCCTAAACCATTGCTAAGTTTTTGCCATCTAAGCTCCACCTCATCTTTAGCAATTGCTAAAAGTTGGGGATGGAGATGGTGACAATTAATAAGCAATTTCTAAAGTGGGCCCTTATCGCCCTTAGGGTTTAGGGTTTTGGGTTCAGGTTTTAGGGTTTAGGGTTTAGGGTTCAGGGTATAGGGTTACAATAACATTACCAAATCAGTAGATTAATTTTGGTAAACGAAAAAGTTAGTTCATCTACAAAGCCAGTCTAAAAGCACATCCCCATCTCCCGCCGTCAATTCCTAAACTTTTCCTTTAATCCGATGGTGAAAGAGCTTC